AGGATCATCATTGTTCCTGCTAAACATGTTCTGTGCCATCGAGAAAGGGAACAGGACATCGCCTAAGTGGCTCGAGCAAAGAGAAATAACTGCGCTCGGCTTACGTCCTTAATTCAAAACAATTTCCTGCGTCACACAGCAGCCGACGTCTGTAGAGTGATCCTTCTTTATTCTGCGGCTGAGTTCAGGGTTGTGTCATGGAGCCCACTTGGAGTCACTTAAAGTCCATCCATCCATCCATTATCTCTACACCGCTTAATCCTCACTAGGGTCGTGGGGGGCTGGAGTCTATCCCAGCCGACTCAGGGTGAAGGCAGGTTCACCTGGACAGGTAACCAGTCTATCACAGGGCTACACTTAGAGACAGACAACCAAGCACACTCACATTCACACCTACGGACAATTTAGAATCACCAATTAACCTCAGCATGTTTCTGGACGGGCTGCAGGGTGGTGCAGTTGGTAGCACTGTTGCCTCGCAGCAAGAAGGTTGCCGGTTCGCGTCCCGGTGGGGGCACCGGAATCTTTCTGCGTGGAGTCTCCATGTTCTCTCCGGGTTCTCCGGCTTCCTCCCACACAGTCCAGAAACATGTTGAGGTTAATTGATGATTCTAAATTGTCCGTAGGTGTGAATGTGAGTGTGCTTGGTTGTCTGTCTCTAAGTGTAGCCCTGCGATAGACTGGTTACCTGTCCAGGTGAACCTGCCTTCGCCCTAAGTTGGCTGGGATAGGCTCCAGCCCCCCATGACCCTAATGAGGATTAAGCGGTGTATAGATAATGGATGGATGTTTCTGGACTGTGGGAGGAAGCCGGAGAACCCGGAGAGAACTCACGCTGCACGGGGAGAACATGGAGACTCCACGCAGAAAGATTCCGGTGCCCCCATTGGGACGTGAACTGGCGACCTTCTAGCTGCGAGGCAACAGTGCTTCACTTAAAGTCCTCGTTGATGAATGAATGTGTCGCTCGGTGACAACCAGACGTCCACTTATACCAACAGAACAGCTCCTACCGGCTCACATAGGGTTGTTGTTCTCTACGGTCTGTGATATTAAGTTTAAAATGCAGCGAGAGGATGCAGATAAAGAACGCACACGTGCTGCGTATCGTTACACGAGTCGGTCGGTCGGTCGGTAGTCGACCCCTCGACGCTCTGCGCTGTGTCGCAAATCAAGAGGGAAGTAAACAGTCGAGGAATGCAACAAAAACGAAACCTGGGGGATGAGTGGTCGTAAAACACAGACGTAACCTGGGCAACTCCAGCACAGACCGAACCTCTGGTCGGGATATTTATTGGGCAAATGTGCAAGTGATTATAGCTGCAGATAAGTTCATGTCTGCCCAGGTTTCCTCTGCATGTGTGTGAGTCCATGTCGTGGGAGCATTTTAAGGCATTAGACTGTAACCTGTAGCTATAAATTAAAGGTTGACTGACGGCTATATTTTAATAATTGAAACACTTCCGTTAATCACAGCCGGGGTTTCCAAGGTCTGACTCGGTGGGACCTTCCTCCCTCAGTGTAAACAGATAAATAAAGCTGTCCGTCAGCTGTGGGCTCAAGTTCAGACCCATTTGTTTTTATTGCCTTGTATTGTAGCTGAAGGGAGAAAGAGATGAAATTAGCAACCAGGAGCCCCGTTTTTTAAACCTACATTACATTTGATAAATTGTCACTATTAAAAGTTTGCCTAATTATCTATGACCAGATCCTGGCTCCTCGAATACTTTCATACTGAAGAAAAAAAGTGAAAAATGCCAAAGTTTAGCCAAGTTCAGGAGCATTTAAAGTCATGCTACAAGTGAATTTATGAGAGATAATGATGCAAAAGTGTGTTCCAGTACCCATGCTCACATATTGCATAAAAGATTTAGTATATCTGAATAAATAGTAAATCAAATGCAGTTTGTTTGATTACATTTGGCCTTTTTTGGTGCTTTTTCAGCCTTTCTGACCTACAATCCTCTGTGCAGTAGAAGATACAGCTCTGGCTTGAGCTGCAGACAGTGTAGAAACAGGTGATTTCATGCTGCAGCCTGCGATGGATGCATGAGGAAGATGGTCACAGCTTAATGTTATGACGAAGGAGTTTGCATGCAGCAGTGCTTTGTAAAGGCAGCTGCAGCATCTATGGAGAGGGGAAAAGAAAACGCTTCTTTCGCCTCATGCAGTGTCTTTCCTTCACCTCACAGTTTCAAAATCTTGAAGTTAAATACTCAAATAAAATCGGTTTAAAGTGAAATGAAATGCAAAGTACGAGCATGTTGCACAGCCCGGTGGTGGTGGTGGTGGTGGTGGTAGGAGGGTGAGAGGGGGGCTTCCTGAAACTCTTTCCCACAAATCTTCAAGGTTAGTACTGGCTGATCTCAGTCTGTCCACATTTTTTCCCTGCTCTCTGTCTCTCTTTTCCTCATACCTTTCCCAAAAAATAAAATACGAGAGGAAATCTGCTGCGCTCAGCAGCTCGGCTCTCCGGGTCAGAACGAGCAAAATGAAACTCAGCAAAGTCGGTCAACTTCTTCAGCTGTCAGACGCAGATAAAGAATCAAGACGTTCAATTATTAGCTGTGTGTTTTTTTTTCCTTCTTCCCTTTCTGTGATTCATTTTCCTTCTGGTCAATACTCTGCACTGATTGTCAAAGCTTCTTGCCAACCAGATGGACGAATGACCACAACACAAGACATATTCTGCTGTATCATCGTGCTGTGTCAATACTGAGTGTGCATGTTTGTAGTGGAGCAGCTTCCTCTGCGATAGAACAGGGAACGGAGATGTAAACTACTCCACAGAGGAAGGTTCGAACAGAAGACAGCGGATGTTCGGCTGCAGTCCCTGCATAAATGGAGTCGTTTTGTCTCACTAATCAACCCTCAAACAGAAGCTTATTCACTTTCCTGCAATTTTTCTGCTTTTAATCTTGAACTGCTAATGCCTTTTGGCTCGTCTCGCTCGGCTCTCTTTCCATTTTTTCATTGGACTCGTTAAGAGGGAGAAAGAAACGAGAGACTTTGAAGCATTTCCTGAACCTGGCCGGGCCAATCCAGCTCCACCGTTTCTCCCCACAGGTCACAAAGCCAGAACCGAACAAAGACACACACGCACTTAAGATTTAACTGATTGGCCCTGTCACTGCTCGAGCAGAAATAGTGGCTGAGTGCTGCTCGCATATTGGCAGGGCAAACCTAAGTGAAAACACATGTTGTGTAAATGCAGAAAGCAGAAGCTGAGCGGCCTCGTCCCCCCTGATAGGGACCATGTGAAACCAAATCCGATCTGAGTTTTCTAGGAGAGACAGAGCGAGCGGAAGCACATCCTGTTTTCCATGTCAACATGGAATCATAAGAAAACAGGGAATCAAAGCAGAAATGCTCATTGAGCGTTATGCAACCAGTCCTGAAACACAAGGACATATAAGATGTAATTGTCCTGCAAAAACAACTCCCTCTGAAACATCCCCTCACAATAAACCCACAAAATGAAGGCATTCTGAAAATCTCCCAGCCGGCCGTCTATATTCATAGCTTCTTTACGATTTCTGTGGATTTCCTGTTCTGCAGAGTCACTGCGTTGTCCGCTGCCAGATTCCTAACGTCTGACGGGTACCAGCCTCCGACCTTTCACGGCCTCTTCGACCCCTAGCACAACATCTGGAATGCTTTCAGCTGGCTGCGCTATACCCTCAGGACACCCGCGTTCACGGGCAGCAAACACAACACACATGCATGAAAGGCTGCAGAACTCGCATGACATCGACTAATCTAATCTTAAACTGGCAAGAAGAGAAGTCTGGGGTGAAAGTATGTCTGAGCTGAGGAGGATCCGTGACTCACTACCTCCAATCTGTTCACTGCTGTGTTCAATATTTTTGACTCTCGTATAAGTGAGACAGTAGACAGATCTCTGAGAGGACTTTGTCGAGTGTCTGAGAAAACTTGTATTTGTTGGCTGGTCACTTGTTGGTTTGCACTGCTGTAGCTGTTCAGTTCAGCGAGAGAGAGAACGTTCTGACTGCAGCTCATTGTTATTACGGTACAGGGCAAAAATGCTCGGGTGTGTTTCTTTAAACCTGTCACAGTAGTCTTGGGCAATGCTAAGCCCAGGATGCAGTGATGGTGCCCCTTCAACATAATGATGGGGGAGCACTGTCGTTGAAATAGCTAATGTGAAGCAAGAATCAAGCCGATCTGCTTTAGAGCAAATCTTTGGCAAAACTTGAAAACGTCCAGGTTCCTGCTCAGAGGTTGTTGTTTCCTGAAGTGAAGGGGATTAGAGAGAAGAAGAAGAAATGGCAGACTTCTACCCTAAGTCTACATCTGGTGAGTCCGACTACTCTACGCATAGTGAATGTGACCTATGTTAGCCTAGCACAAAGCTGTAGAGCAGGGAGGAGCAGCTAGCATCGCTCTGTTTAAAGGTTAAAGACGAATCTACCCACCACTATGTCTACATCTCACTAAATAATATGAGATATCTCGTTTAAGTGTAAAAACAACACATTTCCTAAAGTCTTGTCATCATTGTTAGGTTGCCGGGCAACCATGTACTGCTTTGTCTTTGTTTTTTTAGCCCTTCTATTACGTTCAAACTTACTTTGGGTTCACTTTGAGCCCAGCAATTTAAACCTCCAGAAACTTAACAGAATTAAAATTGTTACCCAAGTTTATGTGTGAATAGCCCTTTAAATAAAACTGACAACATCACTTATTTAGAGACGTTAATGGGGTCAAATTGACCCCAAAGATAATAGGAGGGTTAAAAGACATTAAAAATCAAGATAAACCAGGAGAGTAAAGGTGCTTGTCCCTGTTTCCAGACTTTGAGAAAAACCACCTCCTGCTGGTGCTGACTGGAGAATGTCCTCGTCTAACTTATCAAGATAGTGAAAGGATTTCCAACATGTCCAACTGCACCCCACCCCCTTTGAAGAATCCCACACCTCTGTGCATCAGTGTTTAGTGCGGTTCTGATGATGAGCTGAAGACACGGCGAGGAGCTTTACCTTCTTAGCAGCCTTTGACGGCGACCTCCTGGTGGGTTTCTGCACCTGACCGCTCAGCGTGACGGGCTGCTTGGACACCGAGCCGTTCTCCCGCTTCTTTATGGGGGACGACGGGGTGGAGGACGGCGCCGGGGAAGGGGAGGCCGGGGGAGAGGAGGAGGAAGGAGGAAGAGGAGGCCCCGTCCCCACGATGGCCATCTCCTCCGTGGCTGTGAGGCGAAGGCTGCGAAGACTTTCATGGGTCTCGTGGTCGACCACCAGCAGCCTGGTCTCGTGGTCCACCGCTTTAATCCGCTGGACCACCTGAGGGACGACGACGTCATTTTGATCGGAAAGAAAACAGCAAAAAAATGTCTCATCAGTCAACTCCAGGACTGAGCTGCAGAGAGCTACTGCAGGAAAAGTCCAACAGCAAACCAATGTTATGTGTCTAACAGCTCTTCTCAAAGTGTTGGATGTGCACTACCTGTCTCGATCTAGATATCTAGTGAAAGTGGCAATTAGGTCTTTGTTGTAGTCACAATGCCAAACATGTGATTATTCCGGCTTCTTAGATGTGACCACTCGATGCTTTTCTTCATCGTCTTTGTCTGACTGTAGGAAAGTGTGACTAATAAAGAGAACAACCTGAACTGATCATGCAGCTCGTTCATTTTAAAACCGTGTGTCATCAGAACAGACGCTTCTTTCACAGTTAATGTACGCTGTTATCCATCAAAGCATTCGAGCAGGATCACGATCCTGCTTTTGTGTTTTCCACTGAAAACCCAAAGCGGCAGATCTGCTCCAGGAGCGTCGAGCACAATGATCAACAGGTTTGTTTTGTATCTGTGCTGCAACAAGGTTAGAGAGAAACCTAATCTGCTGTAGAGAGAGGAGGCTGGTGCTGTGTCTGAGCATGGGAAAATAATTATCTGAGCCTGCTGTCTGTGTCCGACCACCAACCGGGACTCAGAGTGCAACAACACCACGTGTAAACAGGTGTAGGCAGTTTGGGGATGATGTCATTGGCAGTCTGACACACACATTTATGCATATTTGTAGGCATATTTACCACGGAAACGTTCACCAAAGAGAGAAGTGAATATCTGATAAGCTTCTAGGATCACAACAACATTCTTGTGAAGGCCTTTGTCAGTGCATACCTTCCTCCTAAACAAAGGCCCTGAGCAGGCAGGTGAGTCAAAAGAAACGGATCATGTGATAAGAAAGTACAGCCGAGACAAGGACAGGTGCACAAACTGTCAGAAGGAAAAGTTCTCAGGGTTTCCAGCTATAACTTGCAGACTGCAGCCCAGGAGGAGGGTCTGTTGTGCCATGGCACACTGCGTCAGGATGCGCAGCAGCAGCCGGTGTGACCTGTTGCTCTGCCCCTTATCAGATGAGTAAAAATCCCACCCAGGAATGCTCATGTACTTGCCTGGTGGTGTGTCTCTTTCTCCACATTAGCTCCATTCACCGCCACCACTCTGTCCCCGGCGCGCAGCCCCGACGCTTCTGCGGGGGAGCCAGCCTCCACTTTGCGGATGAACTGCCCGCTCTTCCCCTTCTCGCCATGCAAGTGAAATCCATACCCGTTCTCCCCTTTTGCCATGAGACAAAGCCGCGGTTTCCTCTCGTTGGCCATCTCTCTCCGTCGTTTCAAACCCTCCTGCGGTGTTTGGTTAAAGTTTAATAATCAAAATGCAAAGATGGGAGCTTAGGAGAGCGGCTGCAGGGCTAAACTTCCACGGTGCCAAAACATATCTGCCCCATACGCGCGCTTTCCCCCATATCGAGAGCAACACACAAAAAAAAAATGCAAAGCAAACCGGCTCCACTTCAGAACAACAATCCTCCGCGTCCACAACACATGCAAAAGAGCAGCAAAGTTAAAATGTAGGGAAACGATGCAACCAGTCCAGCAGATCGTGTGTCCAAACTGAAGCGCACTGCTGGCGACTCCAAAACTGATCCGACGCGGCGCGCAGAGAGACTTCAGTGCCTCCAGCAGAGCATCATGAATGCTTCTGGAAAAGTGGAGGAGATCCTCGGACGCTCAGCTCTCCCCTCGACATTTATACTTATCAACTGCTCGGAGAGCAAACGTTCAGTTGCGCTGTAGTTTGCGCAGCAGCGAGCGCTTCGTGCGCAATAGCACCACCTCCCTCCAGCGCGTCTACCTGTCAGCGAGCTGAGACGTTCAGGGCAGCGACGGAGGAGAGAAAGTTGAGCAATGTTGCCCCTGGGTGGCAGAAAGTGGTTTGTGAACAAGGTTTTTAAAAAGTAAGGAGGGCGACACCGAAGTGGGTTTATTTAAATGGAACAGAAAACACGTTTAATTTGATTGATTTTGTTCAATTAGAGTTTTATTTACTAAGATGCAGCAGTAATTATACCTTATCCAGTGTAAATATTCTCATGTCTTCCTGTTTATTAAACCACATGCTGTATGTGACCTGTTTTTCTGAGATGCCACGAAATGATTAGTATTTAGCTATTAGGATAATCAGGGTAAATTTCTACTTAAGAAAACAAACTGCTGTGTTTCTAATATTCTGTCCACCTCTGAATGTGTGACTGATGGAGATGTTTGCATCTGCTGTTAATACATGTATTAATTTAAGTATCACACACACAAATTTTCTGTTCTTGTCTGTAATAAAAATGCAGAAGTGAGCTGAAGATATAGTTCTACCAGCTGTGCTTCTGATGTTCCATTCAAAGATTCCAATTACTAAAGGACGCAGTGCTGGAGTCGCTGGTACAAACATAAGCACCTGTAATAACTACCAGCATGGGATCATATTTATTTTATGTTATATAAGTTATAAAGATTAAGAACAATGTAGAGTCTTAGTTGGATGATAATAGAAGACATGTAGTGCACTGATTTATTTTTACATAGAGTTTACTAAAACTTCATGAGTGTGATGATTGGCAAGAATAAATTATTATATTTTGTTTTTTCCCCATATTTTCAGATCATCATGCAGTTATTAAAACCCAAACACTACCTCTGTAAAAGTGCAAAAACGCTTTAAAAGATCACGGAAAATGGAAGTTAAACTCCAATTTTTAACTCAAGTTTCTGCGTTAGCTGATTTGAATGAAAACTTCTCCGGTATCTACTAAACATGTTTGGGCAGTTTTAGGTGTTTAATTAAAAATATCTTTAACTAAAGAGGAAAAGCTAATTAGCGTAGCTCAGCATTGATTGTTGGTTGAACCTGATTTTATCAGAAGTTGTTTTAACTCATGGATGTTAATGCAAACTGCTGCATTGTTATTTTTATTGTTAGATTTGAGCTAAAACACTATTTTAATTCCTTTATTTAGCTCTTCACCACAAACTGGCCTCCAGGTCATTTCATCAAGTCACTTTTAGAAGTTACCATCAAAATGATCCTTATTGTTCTCTTTTAAAAATCACATCAGCAGCTATTTTCTTTTTTTTTTCATGCTTTTTTCAACACTTTTCAATTCATCATAGTGTTGTAGTTTCTCCCTGTGGCCACTGGGGGGCAGTGAACGCTGATGTTTTTAAAGATGCTCTGATCGATCTGATCAGTTCTGTCAATCTGGCAATCACACTTCAGGTCAAACTTACTAAAATTATAAAATAAAAACGTGTCCACCAAGTGACATAAAGTGAAAAAATAAAGGTGGCATTTTACAGGAGAGGATTACATGTTGTCATAGCAACTGATGACTCCGTTAATATATTAAATACAGACGTTAGTATCATTGGTGTTCACTGTAAATATCTTTAATAATATATAATAGCTAGTAAATGATGTCAATAGTCATTATGTAGCCTTTTTTTTTTAACCAAAGTGCTTTAATTTGGAGTTATATCTATTTTCAGGAAGAGTTCGGTGATTATTTTTTTCTACTTTTATAAAACTGTGAACAGCTTCAACAGGAGTAGAAAACTCCTGTTAAACCCATTTATTACAAATAGAATAGCTCCAGTGAACATTGTAATAAATGCTGAGGAGTAAATATTTGTTTATTTGTTTATTTAAAAGGATTCCCGTTCGTCTTCCTGGAGTCCAGACAATAAAATATCAAAAACAAGCGTTACAGCCTCAAGTAGAAATAGAACAACAACAACAACAACAACAACAACAACAACAACAACAACAACAACAACACAAGAATAATCAAAAATAATAATAGAAATACATAGAAAAATACATAAAAAGTAATACATAGAAGATAATACAAAGAACAATATAGAACAATCCATCCATCCATCATCTATGCACCGCTTCATCCTCACTAGGGTCATGGGGGGCGGAGCCTATCCCAGCTGACTCAGGGTGAAGGCAGGTTCACCTGGACAGGTAACCAGTCTATCACAGGGCTACACTTAGAGACAGACAACCAAGCACACTCACATTCACACCTACGGACAATTTACAATCACCAATTAACCTCAGCATGTTTCTGGACTGTGTGAGGAAGCTGGAGAACCCGGAGAGAACCCACGCTGCACGGGGAGAACATGGAGACTCCACTCAGAAAGTTCCCGGGTGTCCTCACCAGGACGTGAACCGAGACAACAGTGCTCCCGACTGCACCACCCTGCAGCCCTAATATAGAATATTACACAATATATTATAGAATAACATTCATATGATATAATAATGTTGTTTTCTTAAAAGCAAGACTGTTGAGGTGATAGTAACACATTTTTAGTCTCTTTTTAAAACCAGCCTTTCCATTAATTACTGAACCTCACGTGGAGGACTGTTTCCAAAACACACCTGACCTACAGAACACTGTCAGAGTCAGTCGTAGGTACAGGTGATCCGTCCACTATTCCACTGTTAATATGTAGTTTTGTTTTGCTGCTGATGAACCTCAGGCGTCGACAAACGTCCAGCAGAGCTCACAGCCTCGTGCACTCGAAACCAGATGTCGGTTTATCATCGTCTGCATCACGGTTGCCGGCGGTTACCCAGAGCAGCACATCTTCCTGTGGCTCCACCGACTTGGAGCATCGTTTCCTCCGTCGGCTCCTCTGGGAAGCCAATCAGTGTTCATGCTCTGACTCACGGACTATTCTTCGACCTCATGCCTACCCGCTGATGGACGGTCTGATCCTGATGGATGTTCCGTGTAGCACCACTGGTTTCCTCTCGATCAGGCCCGGAGCGGTTGTCCTGCTCAACGGGGGCGAACTTATTTCACCAGAGACGACACGACAACAGAAGCCTCGTGTTGCTGTCGTTTGCTGCTTGGAGGCTGACTTTATTTTTAGACTGTTGCTGGCATGTCCTGAGGAACAAACAAACCCGTCTCAGCCTCTGAAATGTGACAAACCGCGTAATGTTAGATTTTGAGGTGAAGCAGCAGCAGTCCAGATCCAGATATCAGCAGATTTAACTGATTAAATACTTACTCGCTCCAGCTGCTCAGACTAATATGCAGAATCTGAACTTAATACGTAGATATAGCCTTAACAGAGCAGCAAACACCTCTGTGTTGTGGAGCGACGGTTCTGTGTCCATGTTGGTGCATGTGAGTCCCTCCCTTTGAAACTGAAACCAGACCTCCCAAACGGCACAAAACCCAAAACCAAAAGTGCTTTTCCAGTATTTAGCCGGTGCCACGAAGATCAAGATAATTTAAAAAACAAAGTGTTGTATTTATGCTATTTACCTGCTTTATGTCAATTTGTTTACGTTCAGCTCAGTCTGAGAGTCTCTTGTGGAGTTTCAACCCTATTCAGGACTTTCATGTTGCCATACGTAGAAGGTATAGAAGAAATAAGTGCCAAACATTTGTTGGTCTCCATGACAGACTTTTATGTGAAATGATGACAAGCTTTCATTTAATGTACACATTACAGCTTTAGTCAGGAAGCTTAAAGTGAAGATGTGAAGTCTTGCTTTGCTTTCAGTGCACAGAGAGAACTTGTGGAAGCGACTTTCTTGTCTGTGATTGGTTGCGCTGCATGCAGCTCCCTCCATCTGACCTCGTCTTGATTCAGCGTATCAGGCCTCTTTACGATTCATTACTAATGCAGAGCCCCTCACTCACCGCTGCATTCTTTATGATCTGGTAGTTTGGACATCACTGACTGTTCGCAGGCAGCAGCACTGCTACACTTTCATTTATAAAGCAATGCTGGGCAAACTTCCAGCCTGTCAGTTACCAGCTACGCTCCTCCAAGTGGTTACCGCTAAACCCCGGGTTTGAACTGATTTGGGGAAAACTGCAGAAAGATCTTAGATCAGAAACAGTTCAGGGTGGTGATGGAGACGTGTGGTCGTTTTTCTTGAGAGGTCCACAATGTTTTAATAGTTGTTCTTGTAGTTTTGTTTGTGTTTGTTGCATCTTAATATGTTGTGATTGGCTGCTGCTTCGGCCGGGTCTCTGAATCTCAACAAAATATAAATACATTTTCTGATAAGTTGACGTATTTTTGGTTCCAAATGCATGAAAATGTCCCTCTTATATATATATATATATAAAACAATCTTCAAAAATAAAAACAACAATACGTGTCACTTAAACCAAACGGCCCCTAAAGTCCTGACCAGGGTTAAAGCTCTGTCCTGCATCTTCTTCAGTCGTGCCCGTTCGCTCCAGTCTTTATGGGTCTGTTTCCACCAATAGGTCGACTCCGGGCCGCGCACAAGGAAAAACGGACACAAGTGAAGTGAAAAGGGACAGTTGAAGTGAAGAAGACACATTTCAAGTTGTATTTTAAGCTGCTGTCGTGTTAGCGCTGGTTGTCATGAACACAACGTCTCTGGTAGAATGTTTAGCAAATCGTGTGTTTTGTTCTGAGATGCTGCTGCAGGAGAAACATCCAGGGTTTGTGAATGTCTCACACACACAACTCTTCATGTCTTTTAGACGTTTGGGACTTCTGGTCGGACGGATCAGCTGGAGATCGTGGCGTCAGGCTCTGGGAAACTGAGCTGCGCATTTTCACTACAGATTGAGAAAGTTGCAGCCGTACTTGTGTGACTTCTACTAAATTTGCAAAGTGATGCAGTGAAAAGTCTCAAAACCTCAGAAACTCCAACTTGAGGAGGA